ATTTTCTGAGTATGATATCAGTATCCGACCATGTGCGTGAACCCTCGACACTGAGTCTTGATGGCTGGCGGCGTTCTTCACGGTTCCGTGGCGATCAATCACTTTCCCGGACGTCGCGTGCCCGCATGAATGTCTCATTTCCAAGTGGCCTGTATGAAGTACTCGGTACGTTGAAGAATACACCCATAAACGGCAAACTTGTTACTCAAGTGAATCAGGTTCCAATCGTGAAGAATTTGAAGAATTCAATGGGCTAGCCATAAAAGACACAACAGACTTCATCGAAAACCAAAAAGTTAAGTACGAGCAACAAGTAGAATCCTCGCAGTACATTATCACCTTGAACATACTAATTTTACAAGTACTAATAAATTAAAAAAACCTGAGGATTACTCGTACAACCAAATTGGCAATTTAAACTTTTAAGAAAGCCGCATCAATTCTTGATATCGATAAATTATAGTGACAAAAATGAATTTAATCGGCAGAAATTCATTTTCTCGTGTAGCACCGGAGTCGAATTTTAATCACAGCGATTCCAACGTGTTTAGTAGAAAGTTTTGTGACATGCTGGGTAGCAGAAATTTTTTCGCAATCCCCGATGATCAAGTGTCAATAACCGGAAAGGATGAGGTGAAGAGGAGAAAAATATTGGAATTTCTTTAGTTGATCGGTCGATCCATGCGGAAAGATTGAACATGTGTTTAGGAACGTAAAAGTAAGTAGTCTAAAAGAAAATTACAAGCATGAAGTGGAAAAGTGTCTCCCCTCATTCAGAAGAACTGATACACATGGAAAGCAAGTTTACAATATTTCGTAATTTCGATTGACGAGAATCATCGAATTATTAAGATAATCAAAAATTAATGACGAGTATTAGTATGAATTTTGAACGACTGGAAAGTTCCATAATCTTCCTGAAATGACTGGAGAGAAAGATTCAGCGAATGCTGAGTAAATTCCATAAAGATTATCGATTCCATGAATTCACAGACTCGTTAATCACCGTGAATTGACCGTGACCTTTTCAATTGCCTTTCCGGTTCGAATAATCCGGTACGATCCTCAACCTGGAATAAGACTGGCAGATGTAAGCAAGAGATTCTGAAAGGGACTGTACCATTCCTGTCAGGACTCAAAACGAGTAGAAAAATAAAATAATGACAAAAATCATCTGAGTGGATCCAAAATAATTTTTTATACAGATCAAATCACCAAGAATTGATCAATTAAAAATGAATTATCCTTAACCCAATTAATTAATGAAAATCTATATTTTATGCTTGTCATTTGATTTTTTTGGGATAATAAAATATAATTAGAAAATAAATAATTATTTGCTTACCTTTGTCTTTCATACCCCGAAACATGTGCGGTCCTCCGTACCGAGGTGA